CCGTCTCACCTCGAGCTCCGGGGCCACCCGCGGCGGCCGCCTCTTCTCCACCCGCACACCCGGCCCGCGCTGCAGTGCAGACCGCGGCGGAGGCGGCCGGCAGTCACGTGCCGCGGAGCGAGAGGCCTCGGCGAGCGCTGCCTCGAGAGCGAGAGCGAGCCCACCGCGCCAAGCCCGGCCCTGCGACCGCCCTCGCTGCTGAGTAGCCCGGGCTGGCGCCAAGTCCCGCCCCCTCCCGCAAGCTTCGAGAGTCGGTTGGCCGGCATAGCCATCGCTCTACTCACCTTCCCATACGCCCCCTAGGGCTATTCTTCGTGGAGCGTGAGGATTGGTTGAGATTGAGGCAGGAAGTGACTGCCGGTTGGGCAAGGGGGCGGGGCACGATGCGGGATCTCGGGGCGCGCGCGTCCTGGGGCGGGGCGAGCTTGGCTGGCGTTCCCGCGCGCCGGCCCCCCGCTGCCCACTGGGCGCCCAGCCTGGCTTCAGCCTGAGGCTGCGAGCCGCAGGTGCCCGGAACACCGCCCTCGGGTCTGGTGCTTGCGCGGCAAGGGCGCAGGGCAGAGGACTCAGTGGAGGGACGGGAGGTCAGGCCCTGCAGAGTCGTCGCGCTGGGCCCCGGAGCCCGCGACCGCGACCTTGCCTGGCGCAGCAGAGCCGGGATGGTGTGATCTGGGGCGATGCCTGCCGAAGATCGGGGACCACAGGACTAAGAGAAGGCAGTGAATGGGAGGATTTCAAATTCGCCTCCGTTTTTGTGGTTTTTTTTTTTTTTTTCCGGTACCGAGAATCGATCTCACGACCTCGCGCTTGCCAGGCAGGCGTTGTGCCGCTGAGCTAAAGCCCCAGCCCCTCGCCTCTGTTTTTGTAACCTGCTGTTAGCACATTTTCCGTTATCAGTACACTGAGAACCTCAAGGAGTGGAAGTGGCCCAGGATTTTCATAACCGCGGGAGGTTCCCCTCGCTGCTCCTCCATTTCAAGACCGAAAAGCTTTAATGCTGGGGTGGGGTGTTGCCTGGTGTGTCGCCTTCAACAAAGGCCACCTGGGAGAGGAAGAGAGGGATCAGTGTTTGGTGCGCAACTCTCAGCCCCTAAATTTGTCTAGGAGAATTTTGCTTTCCTTATTTACATGGGGAACTGGATATTCAAGTCAAAACAAAATTCTGAAGCAAGGCGTGGTGGATCAGGCCTGTAGTCCTAGCTACTCCCTTTTAGTCCCAGCTATCATGGGAGGTCGAGGCAGGAGGACCCCTTAAGACCAGAAGTTGGAAGCCAGCCCGGGGAACTAAGATCGGGTCTCAAACATAAGTAAATATTCTGGTCTAATGTGGTGGCACAAGCTTCTAATTCTCGCACTCAGAGTCTGAGGCAGGAGGATCACAAGTTTGAGCATAGCCTGGGTGACAGTGAAATCTTGTCTCAACTTTTAAAGGGGGCTAGGACCAGGCATGATGAGGCGCGCTGTACTCCCAGCACTCAGGAGGCTGAGGCAGGTGGATTGCCTGAAGTTTGAGACCAGCCTGGGGTACATAGTGAGACCCTGTCTCAAAAAAAAAAAAAAAAAAGTTGGAATGGACAGGGAAGGAGGAAGGCTGGGGATGGAGCTGGCAGGATCTAGAGGGTGGAGGAAGGCTTCTTCAGGTGCGGGGAGGGCATGTGCCAAAGCAGGAAGCTGTCTCTGTGCTGGGAACAGCTTGCGGCTGCTGTGGCTACAGAAGGGCATTGAATTGGGATTTAAATTTTGATGGTGAGCCAGATGTTCAGGGAAGGTTAGGTCAGTGCTATCCCAGGAGCTCTGAAAGAGATCGCCTCGCCTCCAAGGTCAGGTAGGAAGCCACCTCTTGCAGCGGCTAAAAGGCAGGACTAGGGAACGGCAAGGTTTATAAGGAAAAAAAAAACAGAAAATGTTGATGCTGAAGGGCAGTCTCTTGGGCCCAGGGGGATAAGGAAAGAGGGGAGCAGAAGCATACACTGAAGTTTTGGCCCGGGCGGCTGGCTAAACTGCAGCACCCCAAAGGAAGGAAATCCAAGCAGGGCTGATCCCGAGTTTGGGGCCAAGACAGAGCAGGACAGGAGATGGGGATTTCTCACTACGGTCTTCCTCCAAGAGGAAACTGAGAGCCCGGTGTAGTTGCACACATTTGTAAGCCCAGCACTCCGGAGGCTGAGGCAGGAGGATTGCTATGACTTCAAGGCCAGCCTAAACTACATAGCGAGAAGTGAGACCCTGTCACACACAAAAAAGGAAACTGAGGACAAAACCCTGAAGAATGAGATCTTTTCTTGATAATCCCAAAGGCACTCTGAGGTATTAGTTTGTTAGAGGAAATAATCAGAGCCAGGCACTTGGGAGGCTGAGGCAGGAGGATTGTTGCGAGTTCAAGACCAGCCTGGGCTACAAGGTAAGCTCAAGGCCAGCCTGAACTGCATAGTGAGACTCTGTCTCAAAAAGACAAAAAAATAAAAAAATAACCAGAGCCAGGTGTGTGCCAGTCCTAATAACCTGGAGACTGAGGAAGGAGGGTTCCTTAAGCCCAGGAGTTCAGGGCCAGCCTGGACAATACAGTAAGACCCTGTTTCAAAAAGGGAAAGGAAAAAGAAGAGCTATAGTTCATAGACGCCAAAGAGATGGGATGTTGAATGCATTCTGACTTTATGATATAATCTGCACAATGGTTTTCAAAATAAATTACTTATACAGAAGTCCTGGATTTACGAAGCGTTCTAGAGAAGGTTTGTAAATTGAATTCACGTTCCAACAAAGTAAGTCTTACCCAGTACACCTGTGAACCTTCCACAGTATGCATGTGAAAGTTTTCCACCAAAATGTTTGTAAATTGGGCACTTACTGTATCCATTTTAAAATACACCAGGCCGGAGTTGGGGATTTAGCTCAGCAGCACAGCGCCTGCCTGGCAAGTGCAAGGTTGTGAGTTCGATTCCTAGTACCAGAAGAAAGACAAACAAAATAAAATACACCAGGCCAGGTGTGGTGGTATATGTATATAATACCAGCACTTGGGAGGCTGAAGGCAGGAGGATTGCACCACAGTGTGAGTTCACAGCCACACTGAACTACACAGTGAGACCCTGTCTCAAAAGAAACCTAAATAAATAAATAAAATGCACATACTCTTTGACCTAACAATTTCATCTCAGGAATATATATCTTCAGTATCTGCCCACCATTGACAGTATATAACCAGTACATGCACAGTACTTGTATATAAATGCATTGACAGAATAAGTGTGTTGCAGCATTGTTTGTAGTAAAAAAAAAAAAAAAATCCTGAACATAATCTAACCGACTTTCATAGCAAAGCGGTTCAGCAAACTGTAAGCTATCCGTATATTGATGGGCAGTGACATTATTTATGTACTGGAAAGGAATGATTGCCATGATTTTCTTGTAAGATGGAGCCTCATAAAATTGCTCAAACTGGCCTCAAATTTACCATCATCCCCACCACCTGGATGACAGGTGTGCACCACCATTCCTTGGCCAGCAGCATCCTCCTTGGTGGGAAGGAGAAGGTGAACACACCAGAAGCAGCACCTGCGTCTTGCTCGGCCTACTGGTTAGGCCGAGAATGGCTGTTTTTCCACCACACAACTCTGGCATTGTCAAATCAATAAGCTAAAAAAAAAAAAGTTAATTGAAGTGAAATTAAACTTTTTTTTGGTACTAGGAATCAAACTCAGGACCTTGTGCTTGCCAGGCAGGCACTTGTGCCACTGAGCTATATCCCCGGCCCAAAATTAAACATTTTGCATGTTCACTAACCATATAGATTTCTTCGTGAATTGTGTCACTTGTTCCTTTTTTTTTTTTTTTTTTGCTCTTTTTGAGACAGGGTCTTGCTGTGCAGTTCAAGCTGGCTTTGTAGCCCAGGCTGGTCTCGAACTCGCAATGATCCTCCTGCCTCAGCCTCCCCATTTGTCCATTTTATATTATAGGGTTTGTCTGTATTTTTACTTTACACAGGAAAGAACTCCTTGAACCTGCTAAGCAAACTCTGTGCCACTGAGCTACCCTTCACCAACTCTCTGGATTAGGACATTAGCTCACCGACCACATTCCCCGACCTTCCCTAAGAGTTTCTAGTTGGGCGCTCTTTCTGGGTGTTACGAACAGTAATACATTGAAAATGACAAGCACCTGGGGATGTAAAGGAACCAGGGCAGGAAAAGGGCCCTGTCCCTCGTGGCCTCCTGCAGACCTGGCCGGGTCTGCAGTGCAGGCTGCGCGCTCCTTTCAGAGCCGCCTGATGCCTGCCTCCTGTTCTGAGGCCCGCAGCTCTGCTTCAGACTCCTGGCTTCACAGGCCCAGGCACCTGTGGGCTATCCGGTGCTGAGTGCAGAGGTGTGGCCCCAGGCCAGCCTGGGCGACTTGGGGAGATCCTGTCTTAAAAGAAAAAGTAAAAGCAGCTGGGGGCGGGGCTCAGGGTGGACTGCTTGCCTACCATGTTCAAGGCCGCGGTTTCCTCACCAGTACGAAAATGTGTGAACATGAAAGCCGCCTCGCGAGCGGAGGTTTACCGCAGAGCCTGCCCCTGCTCTGGTGTGAACACACGCCCTTCGTGGCCTGCGCTTCAGCCTCCTGTTCTGGATTTGGACCTTGTGGATCTTCGGCTGCTTGAAAAAATAATCAACTTTATTGCACAGTTCCATGACATTAAGAACTGTGTAGCATGGACCATGGAACCACCATCATAGTGAAGGCACTGCTCCCACCGCCCTCCAAAGGCCGCCCTGACGTGCTTCTGGACCCCAGACCCGTATGTGGCGTTCTCATCGGGACACCCACAGTGCCGTCCTCGCCACTGACACCACCCTGGCCTTTCAACCCAATTCTGACACAACCAACTCTGGGATTACAGGTGTAATTTTGAGATGGGAGTTTGCTAGATAGCCAGGCTGGCCTTGAACTCAAGGCTATCCTTCTGCCTCAGCCTCCTGAGTGCTGGGATTACAGGCATGAGCCACCTCGCCTGGTTCAAACAGTTTTTATTATATTTACACCCTCCTCAAAAAAATATATATATATATTTATTTATTTATATCCATTCCCAATCAACCCCTGCTACCAGGTCCAAGCAAAAATTCATGTTTCCTGTTACTACAGGTAAGATTTGTCTTTCCTAGAATTTCATTTAAATGGACTCATATAGCATATAGTAGTCCCCCT